TATGTACTCGTTGAAACATTTTATTTTTATTTCACTTTTTATCGTTGGTAAGATTTTATAGTCATGCTGCTTGTACACCATTCTTCTACTTAATGAATAAAGTCTAACTTTGGTTGAATCGGCTCTTTGGCGTTGTTTACTGATGTTCTTTTACTGTCTGGGCAGAAAATTGACTTTAAAAACGAGCAGTGAAGTCCTTAAAAGTTTCTTTGCTTCTTTATCTAGCGGTAATTTCGTTATTTATAAAATGTTTTATTTAATTATGTTAATACTTTTAATTTTAAATATGCGAAATTTAAGAATTTTCAAAATTTGTTTGTCTAATTTAATTTGCATGAAATTTAACTCAAAAATTGGTCAATTTTGTCCATACAATAATGGTTAATTATGTTTTGTATACCAAAATAACTAAAATTGTATTTCCAGAGATTTAAACAAATAGCGACGCACTCACATCTTTTTGGCTCTTCAAAGTCATAGATGGCGGTGATCATTAATACTAGATATTTAAAATAAATCTCATAAGGATGACATACAAGCACACGTGGGTGCCGTGGACAATAATCTGTCTTGGATTAGTAAAAATTTAAATAACTTGTCACCTCTGACGACTAAGAATAAATAAATGAATGGAATGCCTATTTTTACTAGTAAAAAAGATCTCCGCTTCCGTATGAACACACACACAGCAGGATTATTCTGCTGTTATTCATTGGTTTTCTGTGAAAGATTGGTCCTTTTTCGATCGAACAAACCAATTCAAACTGAAGACATAAAATGCAGCGTGTCTCTACCACGTCTTTGTTTTTCCAATTCTTTAGAGTCTATTAAAAGTTCGTTTCGTAGAGAGTTTTGCCATAGTTGCCCTGCTTGGCAGAAAGATGCTGCTGCCCATGTCCTAATTCTATTTCGGGTATTCTAACCTACTACTTGATCTACGACGTACGAGCTCAATAAGCCGGTAATGCACCTGCAACTCCATTGAGTTAGTGTGGTCTAATTTATCATCAATAGCCATATGCTCGTTTCTTTCTAAAATATTCTATAGAACACGAGGTAAGTTAAACTTTAAACTACATTAACGAATTTTTATGAGGTATTTTATTTTAAAATTTTAGTGTATAATTACATTACATAACAGAAAATAACATAAACACTCACACCTCTCACCGAGAAAGATAAGTAGAGACTATATACTTCCATTTGGCACGATCCTGACACACCTCTCTTGCCTCCTCCACATTTATTTATTTATTTATAACATACATGCCTACAAGCTAACAGATGATAGCATCCAACACGCTTGCAACATTAGGATACATTATGTTAAAATTGTCTATTTTAAGTCATGATTAAATTACCAAATAAATCGCATTAAATTAAAATAAAAAAAATTAGTTGAAATAATTGCAGAACAAATAAAATAATAAAAAATATAAAACGAAATTAATCAAATTAATAAAATAATCAAATTAATAAAACGAAAATAGTCAAAAAAAGACCAAAATAGTCAAACAAAATATTACACATTATTAAAATAGTAATTATAATAATCAATGTCAGGAATAAAAAATTATATAATGTCAGTTACAATATTTCTTAATTTACTTATAAGTTTACTCAATCCTATCAGCAAATAAGTCAAGATCATCGTACTGAGCAAGTATGTCACCAATCATTCGTAAAGCGCGGATAGTAGGCGGTGCTCGCCGCGCCTGGTGCGCGCGACAGGGCGCGCTAGCAAACGAGGCCGGTGACGCGGTTCTAGCTGCAGCCCTGACTCCTGTCGTATATTACGGGGAACTAAGATGCGTACACTCTCTAGTATCTGCGGACTATCGATCTTATGATAGAGTATAGAGAGATAATGTGTCAGCATTAGCATAACCCTCCTAAATTTCGAAGTTTCCATACCAACCATGCCTGATACGAACAAAGAAGAATACAGGTGAGGATAGTACCCGTATTGCCTCCGAAAGCACCATCGGGTAAACTTACGCTGTATCTTCTCGACTATAAGGACATACTTGTCCTCAAATGGGTCCCAGACAACAGCACCATATTCTTGCTACGAACAAATGCGTTAAATATTATTTTAGCAACTACTTCATTGTCAAATTGTGTTCCAGTCCTAATAACAAAACCTAACATTCTATGCGCGTTCTTACAGATACTTGTCATGTGAAGATGAAAGTCTAATTTGGAATCTAATAACAGCCCTAAGTCTCGAATATTATTTACTCTTTCCAGAGGAGCGTCAAGTAAGCTATATAAATTTACAATTGGTCTAGGTTTTCGAGTGAAAGTAATTACTTTGCATTTATTATCATTTAAAGGTAATAGATTTTCTTGGCTCCAACTCAACACCGCATCAATGTCTCTTTGTAAATTTATGGTATCTGATTCAGATTCAATACCCAGACTGAGTTTTAAGTCATCAGCAAAGAGGAGACATTCAGAAAAAACAAACGGTGTTCGGCAGATCATTTATAAAGGAGAGGGTTGGCCCGAGCCCTGATTCGTGAAGTATCGCTGGAATTATACCCGTTCACCCGCACATACTGACATCGATTATTCAGAAAGCATGCGAAAAACCGAATGAGTTTGGGGGTAAAGCCAATAAATGCCAACTTTTCTAACAGTTTGTCGTTGTCGACGAGGTCGAAGGCCTTTCTGAAATCGAAGTATGCCGTGTCTACTTGTTTGTAACTGTCCATCTCCTTATATATGTAGTCTACATGCGCAATTAAGTTCGTAGTAGTAGAACGAGCCTTACGGAAACCGTGTTGGCTATTGTGTAACAAATGACCAACCTGATTATTAATATGTTTGCTGAGAATAGACTCAAAAATTTTGGCAAACACTGATAAGACAGCAATTGGTCTAAATTCTGATACATTCATACTCCCATCCCCTTTCGGCACTGGGGTAACCCTGGAACGTTTCCAAATTTGAGTGTACCTAGCATTAGTTAATGATAGGTTAAAGAGATGCAAGAGAGGCCCCTCCAGTACAGCTAAACAATCTTTAGCCAAGAAACCAGGAATACCATCAGGCCCACTGGATGAATGCGGTTTGAGACGTTTCACAACCTCCTTCAAATCCCTCGTATCGGCGGCGTTTATAGATACGGACGTAATGTCCTGGTAAAAATGTGCAGCTTGAACAGCCTTAATAGGATCCAAAAAAGGGTATATTCGGAATGAAACACAGAGCTGAAAAATTCTGCAAAGGCATCAGCAGCAGCCTGCCCCTCTACTTCAGTATCCTTATATATATAGTATCCGTGCGTCTTCTACCTCCTGATTTTTTGTCTTTAACGTAATCCCAAAATTTGACTGGATCGTTAATAATATTACGTTGTACCGATTTTAGATATTGCCTATATTCCCCGTCTATCAGTTTTTTTACCTACTCCCTATAATGCTTAAACATTTGCCTATTGAATTCTTTACCTTCCTTTTTATACTTCTTAAGATGATAGTATTTACTTTTAATATTATTTATAATTTCAGCAGTATACCATTTAGGATATACATAGCGGTGATTAGTGGTAGTGCGCAAAGAAACGGGTACAAAGAGATTTATACAGTCGTACAATTTCTCGTAGTACAACTGAACGGCACAGTCAATATCAATCTCTTTAAGTAAATCTGACCAATCTAATTTGGATAAAGCCGCATAAAGACCATGAAAATCTGCCTTTCGCCAGTTCCAGCGGTAGCTCTGCGTATTGGAAAGGGGTGACTTTGGCGATGCAGGGAGAAGAAGTGAATGTTGAAAAAACGAATGGAAGCTTGATTATAGTATCAAGCGCGGGATGATACTCATCAATTTCTACCAGAGGGTCTAAATTTAGAGACACACTTAATTGACTGGGCTCTAAATTGCTTAGTACGAGATCCAACATACCACCTCGTCTATTTAACACTGTATTAAATTGCTGGAGCGAACAAAAATTACAAAAAAAATCAAAGTGGGTCTTTACATTAACGCTACAAGAATTCAAATTGAAATCACCCAAAATTAATACATTTATGTCGGTGTATGTAAAAATAACTTCTTCAATACAGGCCAAAACATTTAAATATTGAACGTCATTATAGTTCGGAGGTAAGTATACAAGACAGCATAATATTTTAATATTTTTACAATTAATAATTACAAATATTAATTCCTTGTCATTAGTCATACGATCAATTTCAGTAACAACCCGAACAGAATAACAGTCTCGAACAGGAAGCAGTACACCCCCCAACCCAGTATCGTTCGCTCTATCTTTACGTATTACCGTGTAACTAGGAGGGAAAAATTCGCTATCAAATACTGAACTAGTTAAAAAGGTCTCAGTCAACCCTATGATGTCATATTCACTATGTGTAACATTGTTCATAAATGTACTTGTTTTTGATCTTAGGCCTCGAACATTCTGATAAAAAATCCTTAACTCACGCACTCTCGGAGGATGCTTGTTGGCTGTTGATTTTGACACGAAAGTTCTGACATCAAGGCTTAACACATATGCCTTCAGCCCAGTTGCCAGATGACATGACAGTTTCAGCAATTTCAAGAGGAATACCGAGCTTAAAAGAAGCATAGCGCCCACGGGACTTCAGCTTCTCGACGGTACTCATTTCACCGCGACATATAATACTAAGGTGATCCCGCACTTCTTCCACAGTGGTATCTTCTTAAAGATAGTAGAGATGCAGGTATTTCCACCTAGCGGCAGCCTGAAGTGGTGTCGATCCAGGCGCTGCGGTACCTCTAAGTACGCCAGGAAGCGAAGTACGAGATCGTCTGCGTCTCACCTCCACCCATTCGTCTTTGACAAGGTTATCAGAGTCAGGATCACCAACTGCAGGAGTAGATATAGAGCGGGATTTCTGCATAGTTCTATCTGCATCAGGTACTGAATCTGCGAGCGAGGTACTTGGTTTTTCATTTTGTACGACGGGCTTCGCTTTTATCTGGGACTGAGTTTTATTTTTATGACCAGTTTAGGTTGTATTTAAACTCAAATTCTTAGTTATTGCATCCTTATAAGTGGCTGCTTTTGTCATAAGCGTTACTTCTAATTGTTGGATTTTAGTCGTCACCGTATCGATCTTTTCTAAAAATTCATTTTTTAGCGCTAAAAATTGCTCAGCAAGTAATTTGTTAATTTTTTCAATAAGCTGCTCTTCAAAATTGGCTTGCGTTTTCCTCAGTTCCAGTACGACAGTTTCCTTGATTTCGTTCAGAACATAGTTTGATGTCAGGTTCTGGTTAGGTGATTGCTTAAACCGGGTTCCGCCACGGAGCATATTGACATTTTCAGACGGACTAGACATACTTTGGTCTAAGATGTGATGCGTGCGTACAGGCGTTTGCGAATTATTGTCCTTAGGTAGTCTACTGCGACATTCAACGCATATCCAGGACCTCTTAAATTCCACCGAAAAAGTAGCAAACTTTTCAGGACTAAAATTAGCACAAAATATGTCAAAAATTTGCTTACATTGAGTACACTTCATATAAGCGCCGTCTTTAGTCACATCGTTGTGACATCCCGCGCAGGACGCTTTGATTGGTGCCATCTTAGCGCTGTGGTTGACAGCACTTAACAAAGCAATACGTAGCGAGGTGGCGACGATCGGCCGGCAGGTGCGTTGACTCACAGCAACGAGCTATCCGCGAGTTGTCGTAGGTCAGTTACAAAACCGTTAGACAAAATTTTTCAAAATATTTTTGCTTGTAATTTAAGTAATTCCACTCACACTGAAATTTTAATGTAACCACTGGAATCATGGATTAATTAGCTTTAAAATGAATGTTAACATAACTCTAAGCGCGAACTTTAACTAATTATTATGACTGTTTCTTTACGGAGCAATTTAGCACAGTATGTTGTTTAATCAATCGGTAACAAATCACATCCATATACCTAAGCATACACGCTCGCCAGTTAAGTGTACTCTTAATTTGGCCCTTTTTTATAACATAGGGTAACAAACGAGCACACAGTCCACCTGATGGTAAGTGGTTGCTGCGGCCCACAGACGTCTACATCTATCCTCAATTATAAATCAAAACGCAGATGCGTTGTCACCCGTAAGAGAACGAGTAATTCAATAAACTTTTTAAAATTTTACATTTTTATGTGTGATTATATGTAGTAAGAATGCATGAGGAAAGAGTGACAAAGCAAATTTATGTAGTAGAAGTAAACGCTGGAGTCGGAAAGGGGAATTGGCGATATATTGAAAATCGTATCCGTATATGTGGTATACGTGGTAGAGCCATACTGCAGTGATATTAGTAGTATAGTTGCAGGACGAATGGGTCGACTCGATCGGGGAAAGACCACGCTCTCAATGAATACCAGCGTAAAATAGTAGCTTAATGCTGCTGTATTTCATAAGGTAAGTGTAGAGAACCGGAGACCCTTTTTACTGGAAACGAGACATTCCATCTTAGTCCTTACCGTTGACAACGCATCTGCATTTTGTTTCGTAATCGAGGATAGATGTAGATGTCTATGAGCCACAGCAATCGCTTACCATCAAGTGGACTGTGTGCTCTTTTGTCACCCTATCCTATAAAAAAGCGTACATCAGAATTATCATCATCGTCATTACAGCCCACCGACTACTGTTGAAAATAGGCCTCCACTAAGGAATGCTACAAAGCTCGGTCCTGAGCCACCTGCATACTTTGGCTTCCTGTATCTCTTACCAGGTCGACACTCCATCTTAGTGTGAGGCCACTCTACATTTATTTCGCTTACCGGTGCGAGCCTGCTACTCGAGAACCTTTCTTTCCATCGGTTATCGGGTTTTTGAGCTGTGTAGGCGGCGCATTGCTGCTTCAACTCACTAATCCGTTGGGCCATATCGGTTCCTCTATTTCTACTGCGGCTATCATCATTTCTAAGTTTATCACCCAGGGAAACACGAGCGTCTTGCCGGATTGCCGCCATGGGATCTGGAGGCGATAGTCCTCGCGCGCCTGCACGAATGGCGTGCGGAGGCACTGTGCCGTGGGGAAACCCCGCTGCCGCGGCAAGTTGTCGCGCAGCGGACAGACTTCCAGCACGATCTCATGGCGACATGTAGACAGCGACTTTCGCAACCCCGTGCTGGGCACGCCACTATAGCGGCGGTAAGACCCCTCTTTGAGGAGTGGCTTGAGAGACGCCACGGCATCCTCACCTTCCGCCTGACGCAGGTCCTCACCGGACACGGTGTGTTCGGGAGGTTCCTGCACCGAATCGGGCGGGAGGAAACGCCCGGGTGCTCCCACTGCGAGGATGGACCGGAGGACACGGTGGAACACACCGTGGAGGTGTGCCCTGCTTGGGCGGAGCACCGCCGTGTCCTCGTAGCGGCGATAGGCGGCGGCGACCTCTCGCGTCCGGCCCTGGTCGAAGCCATGGTCCGGAGCGAGACGGAAGGGGATGCCGTCACCACCTTCTGCGAAGCAGTGATGCTAGCGAAGGAGGTGGCGGAGCGGGAGAAGGAGAGAGCAGCAACTTTCCTCCCCGGCCGCCGCGGGAGACGCCCCGGGCGTCGGGGGCTACGTCGTGGCCCCCGGCCACCGTAGGCGCGGGCCTGTGGACGGCGAGCAATGGGTAGCTCGTCGTCCGTCCGTCTAATGACGACAGGCCGTGTCGACGGCGCGTTTTGTTCCACGCGCGCCTCAAAGAGCTGTCAGCAGCGTGAAGGGGCCCGCAAGGGCCGACGCCTGCCGGGGCTGCGGGCTGTTCGAAAGAGATACCGCGGCTCCGGAACGTAAGGGCACTGAAGGAACACGGATGGTTTTTAGTCAGTAAAAGTCTGACACTCCCTTACGCTCCACCCAGAGCGAAAGGGGTCATTAGATGATTTTCCATCCGCAAAAAAAAAAGGGAAACACGAGCGTAGCCCTCTCCATAGTTTGCTGAGTGACCTTGAGTTTCGTAATACGGTTGGCAGCTGGCTACTCTAGGTACATCATCGGAATATATTTTTAATTTTCGGATTTCCAAGTTAATCATTCAATAAAGAAAGTACTTCACCACATCTCAGTTTGAGAGTCAAAGAGAAAAGGCGGAGAGATAAGGCAGCGTTTTTGTGCACTGATAAAACATTACAAACATATTTTATTTAGTGTGTCAAAAAAATGTAAAATATTTTGTACCATTCTCGAAAACAGCCTGGCGTACAATGGAAAGTATTATCAGATTACAAATGTCGCACTGAAAGGACTATAACCAACCTAAACGACTATCGTTGTCTAGATAAAGTAGTGTCTCAGTGCGCCTCTTGAAATTACAGGCATCTAAACCTGTCCCCCATTCTTATCGCGTGCAAGTCGCCAGTTACAAACAGAATTATTGCGTATTCCAGAGCTAAAACGTGTAAAAGTGTAGTAAATTAGAAATCACATTTGTTCAGTAAAGGACTTATAACAAATATCAACATCAAAATAGCTACATAATTCTATTAAAGATCTTAGTCGAAATAAGTTGCCAATTAAAAAAAAAGAGAAACAAAATGCTGTAGGTTTTTGAATTCGAAATATACTAAGAAAACAATAGCAAACAAGCTATGGCAATAATTAGAAAATAACTTTAAAAAAACTAACTACACTACACGATACTAAAATAGACTAAAATATTTACCATAATTTCAACTGTCAAAATGGCGTCGATAAAGCGCCTTTTTGACTCTTTATTATTTTATTGACTGATGAAGGGCTATCGTATCACAGAACCATCTATGCAAACAAGGCTATAGGTTTTGAGATTTAAGAAATTGACCATATTAAGCGGATGACCATGTTACCCTCACGTTGCTTATACAGACAAAATATTATTCAGAATTGTGATATTGGTAAATCGAATCCAATTTTTTTTATTTAATTTATTTAACATTATAACAATTTTATTAGTATAACCGAGTGTTTGACCACTATCTCACCTTTTTTGTATTAAGTTGCAGTGACAAGTGAACTAACAGTCCACATATTAGCAAGTGGCTCGTGCAGTCACATGGACACCTGCAGACTAGAACACAGTTATGCAGCAATGCGTGTTTGACGGCAGAATAGCTTAGAAGGAACGTACCTACTCAAATTGAGAGACTTATAGGCAGAAATTTTATTCTATACCAAGTAACCTGATGGTAAGTGGTGACTTAGCTAAAATAGTCTATTTTATAAATTAGGAGCAAAACCCTGCCTAGGGTATAGGAACTTTATTATTACAAACGGATTTTAGCGAATTTGTCAAGTAAAGGCAGGTAAACAAATAAATTCACTTACGATTATACGATACGAACCGCTATTAAAAATTGCGTGAATATTACTACAAAATTCTGGCATATATATGCAGAATATAAAGATACATGCAGAATATATATTATGAGTTTCCAAAATCGTGCAATCAGTTCATTTATCATTCGCTACAGCTTCTTAGACTTTGACAGGCAGGTTAGTAATCACAGATTTTTATTGTTTTCGGTGGTTGTCAGGAAAATGCTGATACCCTTCTGCTCCTGTTTCAGTCTATCACCTCTTATTACAACCACGGGATAATATGGGGTAGTTAGTGGATTTTCCACACTATCACTACTTGACACTTTTTCACTTAGGTACTTAATTTTGCTTCATAAAGTACAACTAAAAATAAACTACTGAAAGTACCGAGAACATCTCTAAATAATCGAAACAACTTTTATCTCACCTGATATTAAAATTTATTGAAAATGTTAAACTAAAAGCAATTAAAACCGTAAACTGTCTTTATGATTAGTAACTTTCAAAAATTAAGAAACTTACCAACCTTTGCTGTATATTATGTTCGTAGAAGAAACGTGTGTCTGGAAAGTCTGCCTTAAAAAGTCTAATAGAAATAATTTTAAAATCGTTCAGTTATGGCTGTATTTACTTCTTACATTTCTCTTTTTGTATTTAACCGAACACATAGCTCTAGCAGGATTACATAAAAGAAGCAATTAATCTCGTAGAGAGAGAGAGAGAGAAATTAAAACTTGGTATTAGATTTTTTGCACTTATTAAGAATAACAATAAAAACGAATCCGTTTAGTGGCGATATTAGAATATTCACTAATCCATATTGCCTCTACACATCCTAACCGATTGCGGACCCTTAATGCGCAAACGTAACACTCGTCTGGGACACTATCTACTCCGCCCAGAAGAAGTGAAATTGCTCAGCTATTTCACTTCTTCTGGGCGGAGTTAGTTCTTTTTTTTATATTTTATTTAATATGAAGTAGTGAGCCGTGGTAGCTCAGTGGTTAACGCTCGCTGTAAATATAAC